AAAAAACCTTTTTTTTTTTTTTTAAACGAATAAAAAAATTTTTTTAAAAAAATCCTCATAATCTTCAATCTTCATTCATTCTTTTTTTATTTTTTTTATTTAAAAAAAAAAAAAAAATTTTAAATAATGATAATAATGAATGTAAGGCGTACATTTATAATCACAAGCAAGCTTATGAAATTCAAATTTCAATTTTTTAAATTTTTTTATATTCGCTTTATTCATTTTATTCACTTTATAATTTTCACATTATAATCGTAACCGATCGGAACTCTTTTTATTGAAATCGCCGGAATGAGATTTTGATTATTCATAATTTGTAACCAATAACTAATCGAAAAAAAAAATTCATCTTTTTTCAATATAACAATGTAAGAAAGCCTTTTAACCTTGTAAAGACTTTTTGTAAAACAATATAAAGTCTTAATGCAATTAAAGAGATCGGAGGGAACGAATAATATTTTAAAATATGCAAACGTGAATATCATAAATTAATACTGTATATTTTGACTGTATATTTTGACCTTTAAAAAAATAAAATTGAACAGGTTCTGCGCCATAACCTAAAATATTTTTATTAGAGATTTCTTATTATTAGTTATATATTATAAAGTACTTTTTGATTGCAATGTTGCTGCGCCATTTCCCAATATCGAATTCAAAGTTGCTGCGGCATTTCTAATATTGTATTAAAAAAAATGCAAAATTGCTACGCCATTTCCTAATATTGAATACTTAATAACGGAGTCCCTAATATCGGACTCTTCCTACTTTGGCTACTGCGGCATTTCTATCGGAATATATCGGAATCTGGTAGGATACTGCGGTATATCCTTACTACGAATTTTTAACTAATTCGTTTATAGGGTAACCAAATTTGATTACCTTTTAATTAATCAATTAATTAAATTGAAATTCTTTGTAGAATTTATTGCTAAATGATAATAATATAAGCACAGGTTGTATATCATTATATTTTCAAAAGAGTTGTTGCACTACCTAGAAGATCACATTTACACAAGAAATGCAAGGGCCACCTCAAATATTATCACACCTTCAAATAACGTCACTCAATTCTCACCACATGGACCTACAAAAAGTAAACAAAAAAATCCTGCTGCGTTGCATTAAAATATGATTGATTAATAACCGACCTACTGACTGTCTGATTCGGAAAAACAATTTACAAGTCAACCATTTCCTCGGTAGTGTATTATTTAATACATTTCGGTATTTTCCATTGTCATATTTTAAAAGAATTAAAAAGTTACCCTTGAAAAAAAAAGAAAGTATGAAAAAATAACGGATTATACAATTACGGTTAGAGGGAATTGAAACCTATGATGATTTCATCACATGATAAATTATTTGAAATGCAGGTTCGTGCATGGAATTATGGAATTTGCCAGAAAAAAAAAAAAAAAAGATTTATAAAAAAAAAAGTATTCAATTATTTACCAGAAATTTCATTTTATGTCATTTGAACCCTGAATTCTATTTTTTTTTTTTTTTTTAAGAAAAAAACTTTATCAGATTCTTACTAATTTTTCATTGTCAAAAAAGAACAAAAATTGTTCATTTTCGTGCATCTGAAAATTTATGCAATTTGGCGGATTATAATCTAAATTATAGCCAATTAAATATTTGTTACACGAAAATCATACTTTGTGTATGTCAGTTGTTGTGTATAAATGTGTTAGTTACTCTATATTCTATATTTTATGTTCCATATTTTATATTCTTCCATAGTGACTACGATGATCAATTTGTTAATTTATTTTAGTCACTTCTTTTTTAGCATGGTTTTACAAGGTGACTACTCATCCCTATTTTATTTATAATAAATATTTGTATCATCTTTTTATAAAATTTATTTATCTGTTATTATTGTGTGATATTACTTTAGTACAAAAAAAATGTAGTGGAAAAATAAAAATCATCATAAATATATTAAAATTCGTCATTATTTTTTTTTTTATACTGTAGATAAGGAAAGAGTAAAATATCAGATATGTACAAAAGTAAAATAATTATGTACAAGTAAAAAAGCACAACTTGAAAAAGTAAAACGTACAAGTAAATTGTAACAAGTTTAAGTACAGGTTTTTTAAGAACCAATAATTATTAAGAATTAATTTTTTTATATCATTTAGTTCATTTAGTTATAACGTTTAGGAAATGGTGAAAAAAAAAAAAAAATTTATTTTTTCATTTTATTTTTTTTTTTATTTTTATTTTTATTTTTGGATTTTTTTTTTTTTGTTTCTGGATTTTGTTTCTAGATTTTTTCAAGGAGATCAATTCCTTTAATATATTATATAATTATAATTATTAATAAAATTTCTTATAAACCAATAATCAAAATCAAAAAATAATCAAAATCAAAAATAAAAGAAGAGTAATTTTCACACAATCCGTAGTAAAAAATTACCTAAATCTTTTTGACAACTGACACTTACACTAATATTATTTAACTTAACCATTTTAGTATATTCATTTCCTATCGTAATTTAAATTAGGTAACTAGCAATCTAGTAATTTATAAACCTAAAAGATAGTTTTATGTAAAATGCAATATGTTTCATGTTGTATTCCCTTTAATTACTTAAATGTTTTGCATATTATTACCCCTTCTCTCCCCCTTTTTTTGTGCAAATCATCGTAAATTTTTCTATACTTTTGAACGCTAAAAAGGTAGGAACAAAAAATTTCATAGATAATCAAAAAAAAAAACTGATGCGCCACGAGACAATTTTTTTTTGAATTTGATATACGCACTTTTTTTTCTTTTAAATTTTTATTTGATAAAAAAAATATATTTTTGAACTTTTTGGGAACTTTGAAAAAAAATTTAAAAAAAACGAATATTTTTTTTTTTTTCTATGAATATAATATATTTGATATGGATTTTTATGAGATATTTTTTTTTTTTAAATGAAACCCCATCTATACTATATAAATATGTGAATGATTATAAAAATGAAATATAAAATAATAAAAAATACTTTTTTGATAAAATGTAATATAAAATAAAATAATTAATGAAAATACTTTTGAAATAGAAAAAAGAATAAATAAAAAAAAGAAAAAAAAAAATTTTTGATTTTTTGAATAAAAAATATGTACAAAAAATAATAATAATTTTTTTGAATATGCAAAAAATAAGAAAAAAATAAGTATTTAATATAATAAAATAAAAAAATTGAAACGAAAATAAAATCCAAATGAAAATAAAAAAAATTTAAAATCGAAAAAATCGAAAAATAAAAAAAAAATTTTAAATGAGCGCAACATCGCATCACTTTTTAAGATAATTTTCACCAAGTATATTAAATGCTCGTAAACTTTCAATCTTCTCACCAATTTCTTCAATCAAATCTTTACTCAAACCCCAATAACTCTTTAATTTCCATCTCCACATGGCTTCTTTTGCTTGAATCTCATATTCATAACGAGGTTGTGGATAATGTAAAGCCCATTCAGACCAACTTTCTGAAACTAAATGAATTTCTTGTAATTTTGTACAAGAAAATAAAGGTATAAAAACATCCAATAAAACAGGTTGTGATATATAATCCAAATCTACCGACAAGGTCTGAAGTGTTTTATGACAAAGTGATAAAAGGGATAAAAGACCATTATGAGTAAAAGTTGATTGACTCGTTTTACCAATATAAATATGTTTTATCTCTGCTGATATAATTTGATTAAAAGAAATTTGAGAAGGATGTGGTATAATTAAAGAATTATTTGGTGATAAATCACTATCAATATCAAAATCGGATAAATTATCATCTAATAATTCATCACAATAAGCTTCATCATCTTCATCATTATTATCATTCATCATATTAAAATCAGAATCATTTAAATCAACCCCTTCTAAATAAATTCTTTCAAGTTTTTTACAATTTTTTAATAATTCAAGAATTGAAAATCCAGTAATATTTTCGGTAGGATTCATTCCACCATAACCGGCATTAAATTCGATTAAAGTATCTTTAACGTGAGGAATAACATGTTGTAATATACCTTGGTCGGTAAAATTTGATCCACTTAAAGATAATTTTTGTAATCCACCATAAATTCCTTTACGTTTATCGACCAATAAAGAAAAATGTGGTAAAAGTTCCCCTAATAAATCATCATTAAAAGATGAATGACTTGAATCTAATTTAAGTTCTTTTAAACCTTTCCATGTCATTAAATTCTTTGCAACTTGTTTATAAGTAATCTCTTTTCCTACATGACAAATATGACAAAAATTCAATTTATCTTCAATTGAAATTCCGATTAAAGGTTGTGATGAAAATAAATTTTGTACGATTTCCAAAGTTTTTAATAAACCACCAGAATTCATATTTGACATTGATATAGGACATATAGTAATCCTTCTTACGAATGATTTATAATCAAACATTAATTTATCCGGTGATGTTGATAATATATTGAAGATTATTCTTTCCTCAGGTTCTATTAAATATAAATGTCTCCATATATAAGGAATTGATATTTTTGCAAATAATCGATTAACGAAAATTAATTGAGAACCGGTTAATGTTGATGATGTATTTTTTATGGCTGTTTTTATGATAAGTTCTATAATATCATAAGGTAATTTTGTTATCGGAAATTTTTTACTTGAATTTTTCATTCGTATCATTTTTGAAACCATTTTTTCAAATAAAAATAATAAAGTGTCTTTTGAAGGAAAACTATTCTTCTCTTTCTTTCTTTTCTTTTCTTTTTTTTTTTTCAAAGAGAAATCTTCAAAAAGAAAATTTTAAAAAAATATAGAGAAAAAAAAAATACGGAAAAAAAAAAAAAGAGAGAGAGAGAGAGAAAGGAAAAGAGAATATTTTTTTTAAACTGAAAAAATTCAAATAAAATCGAGAAACGTTATATATAAACCAAAAAAAAATTACGCCCATAATAAATATAAAATATATATTATCAATTATATATATTTAATATATTATTATAAAACGAATAAAACGAAAAATAAAATAAACAATATAAATAATAATATAAAAATGTGTTGTTGTTGTTGTCAATATAAATTAGGAAATTATCTGCCGATATATTTTTAATGTGTCAACATTATTATTAATAATAAGAATTATTTATTTATATTAGATATATTAGAATACTTTTTTTATTCATATTATGCTGGTATTACCGCATAAAGTATATGTGAAATAAATGAGGGAAATTGGGGAAATTGGCGCGATTCTTGTGATTCTTGTGATATTTTCATGAGGTATTTTACCCCATTTTCTAAATTAAATTTCACCAAATTTTATTATCACATCCGTAAAGCCCGTATAATTTTGATATCATGCTGTGCCCCCCATCAATTAGATTACTTGAACATTTTATACATTTTATTTTATTCATTCTTTTCTTCTCTTTTATATATAGAGTTTTCTATTTTTAATAAAATGAATATTTTAGATTTTTTTTTTTTCAGACAACACAAGATGTGGCAAAGTCTTTTGGATCAACATTTTTAAAAATAGGAACATTGGAACATTTTGTGACAATAAATAATACAGGATTTATAAACTGATATTATTATTATTATTGATATTATTTTTCATTCTGATACGTTTGGGATGGAAATAAAGAAGAAACATGACAAATGGATTAAATGGATTATTAAATGGATTAAATGGATTAAATGGAAAAAATGAAAACTTTACAAATTATAAAGACCGGATATATTCTTTCCGATATATATTATATATTATAAATATATATTGTGATTTGACTTTGTTTCAGCCCAGAGTTTTTCATCCGCAGTATCCTACTTGACCACCATTTTTAGTTTAAATTGAATACTTATAATGTGCACAGACAAAATAAACAATTCTTTTTATAAGAAAAAAAGAACGACCACAAAAAAAAAAGAATTGTTTGTCCTCCTTTAAAAGTATTCCTAAATATTCCTTTCGTCCAAAAATACTATTACTTACTAATTAAAGTAATAATAGCATAACAAGTCACAACCATAACAACCCATAACAACAACAACAACAACAACAACAAAAAACAACAAATATAAAAATAATCTTCATATTTGTTTTTTTTTCGTATCTAATGGTTTCACTTATTTTAAACCTCAGCCGTTTTAACAAAAATAATTATAATATTGTTTTTTTTTGTGTTTTCATTTACTTTTATCATTTCTTCCAATTAAATTTAAACAAGTTTTTTTTTTTTACATAAACCTTCGGAAAAATATAAATGAATAGTAATAATAAAAAAGTTGTACTATACTTGAATGTATTTGTAATTTATCCTTTAATCATGTGAACATTTATAATTAATTTAAATTTTAATTGGTTGAAAAAGTTCGGAGAATCTGATCCATTATTGGAACCTATTTTCCTTTAAAGGTAAAAAATCTTATGGGAACCCCAAAAATATAATTCATTGTTCAATCTTTTTGATATCTTTTTTTGATATCTTAAAAATAGTGTTTCGTCATAAACCATTTAAACTTTGTAAGTTTGTATGCTTTGTATGCTTTGTATGAGTCATGAGATGTCATGAGATCATCATCGAATCATTTCATTTGAACGTTATTTTCTAAACGAAATGATGAAAAAGAAAACATACCGTATATATATATATATATACTTGTCGCATATGGTAGGTTTTGATCGATTTACACATACATTACATACGCCTTGTTTTGTTCTCCTGATCAAATTTTTAAGAGAAAAACATTCTTTAAAGTTATACTCGTTTTTTTTTTATTTTAAAACAAAGTTGAATCGAAATTCTATTGTTTTTATCATGCAAAAGAAAAAAGAAGGTTCAGGAGAGAATTTCTTTTCTTATTGTTCTTAAATAATTGTTTTATTAAACTATTAACCCGCAGATTTTCACTTGTTCGATCATTTTGATTATTATAAAAAATTTTTCGAAAAAAAAATGAATATATGATATATATATTTTTAATATATTATACAGGATATAAGTAGATATATAATACATATATAATAAATATAAATAAATATATATATATGTATTATATATATAATATATTCAATATATACATACATCACATATATCGAACGAAAAAGGAAGAATAATGTGAAGTAATGTGGAATTATGGAATTCGAAAAAAATGCTTGTATCTGCTGTACTATACTGCGTACCAATACGTTACCAAGTAATTTTATTTATTTACAATATTATTATCTGTTATTATATAAGAAGAACTCCTGAAATTTGATTTATTAATAATCACCAAAATTATCACAAAATAAAAAAATGTCACTCAAGTACTTTTCCTTATAAGGTAAAAGCATTTTCACTTTTTTGCATGTATAAACCTAATAAAGCAAGTAATTACAAGTCAATTTTTGAAACTATTGACAAAATATAAAAAAATATGGGGTAAAAATTTTCAAGTTTTGATAGGTTATCTATTATTTATAATAATCAATTGCGGAGATGAAACTTTATTTTATTATATTATTTTTTTCTGTGGAGAAATATTGTAATCCCTATTTATGTATTCTGCGGTGTAATATCTACGGATTTACAATGTAAATTCTACGGTTAAATTAAAAAGAAAAAAAAGGATTGACTGCGCATTTTCTTTTATTATTATTATTATTAATATTATATGAAAAATACCGGAAATTTTTTTACTTAACTTTATCAACAAAATTGGCATGAATGTAATATGATTATTTAAATAAACATTTACAAAACATTACATCGTTTTTTTTTCTTTTTGAGAAAATTATTTTTTAGAATTTTTTATTTTTTTTTTGAATTTCAAGTTTTTCAAGTTTATTTTTTTTTGACAAGTTTTTTTTTATAATATATTTAATAATTTTTTTTAGATATTTTAAAAAAAATTCCCTCCCCCCTTCTTTCACGTTTCATTCACTCCTTGAAACATGGAAAAAATATTTCAAAACATAAGGAATATAGGAATATAGGAAATTTTTAATTCATACCTCCTTTTAATGATAAATTAAATCAACCCAAAAAAAAAAAAGAGTTATTCCAGATAATATGAATATTCTAGAAAGAAAATTTTAAATTTCAAAAGAACAAAAAAAAAATTTTTTTTTTTTTAAAACAAACCATTTTTGGCAAAAAGTGAAAGTACACGGAATCGTATGATAAAAAGAATAAAAAAAAATCTTGAAAATCCCGTTAAAATGAATGAACTGGAGTATATATCCTTAATTCGGTTTAGTATGAAAATAATTATTTTTTTACTTTTTTTACTTTAAAAAGAAATGATTGACTTTATGAACTTTTATAATCGGAAAAAAAAAAAAAAAAAAAATGTGAAATATGTGATAATAAAAATTTTTCTGAAACAAATTTTGAATTTAATAAACGAAAGATTGATTAATTGTATTTTCTCATCAAGTTATTTATTATTATTTATTGAAAAAAAGAATTTCAAATATTATTATGATCTGTATTTTTATGCATGTATTACCATCTGATAGTCTGACAATTCAACAGATCATCCACAAACATATTATCAATCTTTTTTTTTTTTCGAGTATAAAAAGTAAAAACCGCATTCAACATTTGCAACATTTGCGACATTTCAACATTTGCGAAATTTCGACATTCCGACATTCCTACATTCCGACATTTCGACATTCGACATTTGTGACATTTGCCAATATTTGCGATATTTGCGATATTAGTTTGCAACATTTGTGATATTTGTGATATTTACGATATTCACGATATTTCGATATTTACAAAATATTCGAATTATCAATGAAAATACATTATTAGAAGATCTCAAATATTTTATTACCTTTTAAAGTTAACGGATTCTATCCTTTTCTTATTTTGAAAGTCGGACTATCGATATATGGAGAAATAATTAGACATTAATTAGGTATTAAGGCTATGTAATATTGCACCTAATGAATAATAGTGTAATGTCGAATTGTTAATATTTCGGCTTAACCTGAATCTAAATTCACCCTCACGTCTAATATAACAATTGTAATGTGAACGTGACGTCAAAGTAATTTCATAACGTGTTGGGCTGGTCAGCTAAATCACATGAACCATATAAATGATTTACTTTTTTTGAATATTTTATTTACTAATATTGTTTTCCTTTTTATTTTTAGTTGCCAAAACATTCTCACTATTAGATTTCGTGTTTAATTATTTACTTATTATCCCTCTACCGATGAGAATAAGTCAACAAGCACGAAAAGCGATTATGGGATGAACTTATGCCATACATATTATTTATTTTATGAAGTAGAATAGACATTGATTACACCCTGGTTGTATAACGATGAGCATATCAATCCATCTTAAATTGGTTTATGGAAGCAGATGAATAAGTTACTGCATGGTGAGAGATTACGACATATCATCAATTTTAAATTGATTGATTAGCTACCTAAAGCTTTATTTGCTTCTTGGGACGAATTTATAGAACAACCATACATATTAATTCATTTTATAAAGTAGAACAGACGGTAATGATTCCTGGTTGTATAATGATGAGCATATCAATCCATTTTAAATTGGTTTATGGGAGCAGATGATGGAGGTTATCTAGGTTTATTACCTTTAAAATACGAAGGATAACTTACTGCATGATGAAGTTTATAAAAGAGATTACAACATATCATCAATTTTAAATTGATTGATTAGCTACTTAAAGCTTTATTGCTTCTTGGACGAATTTATAGAACAGCCATACATATATTAATTCATTTATGAAGTAGAATAGACGTTGATTACACCCTGGTTGTATAATGATGAGCATATTCAACCCATTTTAAATTGGTTTATGGAAGCAGATTGCATAGTGAAGTTTGATATCATTAATATAAATTGAATGTTTAGTTACTTAAAGCGTTATTGCTTCTTACCACCCGGATTCATATCGATCCATTTTAATCATGGAAGCAGAAGACGAAGTCGATCAGTCACCGCAAAGCTTGAAACGGAGTTTACATTATCATACATACAGTATCAATCCAATTATGGAAGTAGTAAACGAAGAATTATATATGAGTCCAAAAACACGTTCTTGGTCCAAAATTTCGACTCCATCAGATGAATATAATTTATTTATCGATGATGTTGCGTGATAATGCTGCCGGTGTCGTATCAATAATTGAATACGATCCAAAATCAAACAAATTATCATAAGATACACTTTGATGCCATCAAAGAAATGTCAAAAGGCGTAGTTGAACTATCCCAGGGTCAAACACGAACTATAAAAGATTTATCAAGTGTGATGCAGCAACAACGATCATAAGACTACTACAAAGTTCTCATTGTCTATTTTGGAAAAGTTTTTTATCAGAATAATTTTGGAAAAAATTCCTTTTACTTTTTTTTTTTAGTAGAAATTTTTTTTTTATGAAAACCGATTAGTCACCGCAAAGCTTGGTTGATCGATCCATTTTGTGTTTAATAAATCAAAGAAGCAGAAAAATAATAAGTCATCGCACAATTGCATCCTGAATATAAGAAATGAGATTTCAACACGGTTTTATATTCATTTTAAATTGAGTTATGAAACAGAAGCCAGTACTGCTTACTGTTGGTACGCTGATCAGTGATGGTCTTTTGACCAAGAAGGATTGCCACGCATCATCGTGATCTTCGTGATCTTTAAAATACTATATTGTAACTATAAAGAATTATATATTTAAGATATATTTTTGGAATATAGTGTAATAATTTATTAATTAATTGCAGGCTCATTATCTAGTAATTATAATATTTGTAATATACAAACTTTATGAAATAAAAATTTAGTAAATTACTATTGATTAAATAATTTACCGATGAAATTCAACTAAACGTGATTACATAGAAAACGGGATGTCAGTGATTCAGTGATTTTCTAAGAACCTTTGATGATTCATCCACTCCAGGGTTCGATAGGCGAAGCACAAAGTTTCAATAAAACATAGAAAGCTCATTAATACTCTTCCATCATCTTTAGGCTGATCCATTGAATAAGTCGGTGAGCGGTTTAATGTTAGGCTTTTCAGGGTACACTGCTCTGCAATAGTGAATAATAGATGGACAGCAAGAAATCTTGTGGTTCTTGATGGCCTGTACATGAATAATTAGATAAGGCGTTAACTATTGAAGATGAGCATATTACCATTAATATTTATAGTTATAAAACGTACATCCATTCGAGTCCAGTATTTCGCATATTCGCACCTCTGGATTGAAGAAACTTTGCCTCCTGTTTCTATCTCGTTTTTATATTCTCATATAAATAGAACTATTCTCATCGTCGTCGAAATAAGTATCGGCTGAATTCCATCAAATAATGAGGTGAAAAAGGATCGAAGTGCTTTTTGTTGCAAAGGGCTGTCTTTGTAAATTTGACCCAATTTGACCCATAATTTTATTTAATTTAAGAATCTCTTCGTATCACTTTTCTGAACGATTAATTCACCATTGTGATGGCCGGGCTGAATACGACGGGATGGAAAAGAGTAACTGGTGATCCACGGCACTTCAGAGATTGCAGATTATGAATTTTCAGTGGGTTCTTATTGCACTCTTCCCATTTTTTGACATGCAGAGGTTGAAGGGCAGAGCATTTACATATTCCATTAACGTTTTCGACTTATTCTGCGATGTGCAAAATAGACGTATATAAACAAATATACAACAGAAAATTTTATAAAAAAACCAAATATTATATACAAACCATGAAGTATTCTTTGGCATTTGAAGTCAACATCATTGGACTCTAGTCTTCTATTTTAAATTCCACAGGATAAGTTAAACTTATAACAACAAAATTTTATTTATCAAACACCGCTAGATTTTATTATTATCGAATTTCAATATCAGAATTTCATTATTCATCAAAATCCATTTGATCATGAAATTTATCTTGAAAATTCTGGAAATGTCTTTTTTTTTATTATATAGCTTCAATATTAACTGTGGTAGTAAATGGTTCAGATTGGAGATGGTAAGGATAGTATTTATTAAGAGAAATATTATTAAAAGAAGTATTGATAAAATTTGGGCATATTTGATAAGACATTTTTGAAGATTTTAGTAATATTTGAAAAAAAAATTGATTTTGTTTGAAAATTTGATTTGAAAATTTGATTTTGTAATATTTGAAAAATACTTGACAATAAAATGAATGTTAATTTCAGGAATTTTATCATCAAAGACGCTATTAATTTGGGAATTACCAATTTCTGTTTAATTTCAACGTTATCAAGTGTACGAAATTTTCTCAAACAGAATGTTAAATTTTCACAGTTCAATGTCTTTTGCCCACATCACACTTTCACATCACACTTTCAGGTTTATACTTATTTGGTGATCGGCCAAATGAGTTCCTTGATCACCGGTTTCTTCTTTTTCATCATTCAAAATAATGCTTAAGGATGCTCTTCTAGAAGAAGGTTCAATGGGCACGAATTCAACATTACTTGAAAAAATTCATCCGTACTGCTGATCTCAGATAAATGTTTGACAAGAAATTTTCGATATTCTTCTTTATTTAAAATATCATTATTATTCGTGGGAGGGAGACTCGGCCATACTTCAAAGGGTGTCCCATTGATCAACCTAATATCGCTTTTAAGACATTCAATGGTCTTATTAGCCTCAATATTAACAGGAAAAGCATTTATCACAAAATCTTATACCGGCTTTTCTGCATAATCATGTATTTATTAACAAATACAGCAGGTAAAGTATGGCTTATCGGCGGGCTCCAGTATGTCTTCAGCCATCAACGGCCAGGATACTATTTGGAAGTGTTCATGGTTGTGTCAACTTGTGAAAATATATTTATTTTTACGTTCAGAGGTTAATGTATGGAAGTTTTAGGTAAATTTTCTTGTGATCATTTAACCATCATAATAACAACAACTATTAATAATCAAAGAAGGATTTCCTATACATTAAAGTTAAAGGAAGAAGTACGATGATTGATTTGAGTGAAAAAGTGAGATCAAAAGGACATTCATGATGATGGTGATGAAACAAAATTTTGGAGATACGGTTGTACGAATTTAAATTCGGCAAGTAAAAATTTGATTATCGTTATAAAAAAACAATTTATCAATTTATCCTAATACATGATGATTTTTAGGAAACTTTAAATATCATAAATATGATAATATGATAAATATGTAAAAATTTACTTATATAAATTCCCTTTCTTTCATTCTCATTTTAAATTTATAAAAAAAAAGTGACTATCAAAACCATTATTTACTAAACACAGAATGCTTGACTTTTTATCTAATAAGTGAAACAATTGATTTTACTAAAATTATCCAGCAATTAAGTGAAGTGTTGGTTTAAAATATTGCGAGAGTGGAAAAATTAATTTCTTTATTTAGTTCTTTATTTTCTTTAAAATAATAATAATAAACACATCTATATTTAAAAAGTAATGAACATCAAATAATAAACAACCTATATAATAAACGCCCAGTATTTCGATATACCATTATTCGATATATATAAAAAAAAAACTCGATATAACAATAAAAGTTTACTTTCCTACTTACTATATGAGAAAACATATAATTGATATAACGATATTTTTCAAAGATTTTCGTATGGAACCTAACATATCGTTTTTAACATATCGATATATTGCAAAAAAATAATCTTATATCAACAATTTCAGTTTCAACCTTAAATTGAATAATTATGCTTTTTAGTATAGGTATTAATTGGTATCCCGAAATTCATCTCGCCGACGAGAATGTTTCACCGAAGTGCCATTTCCCCGAATGGACATTTCTCCAAATGGCCATTTTGCCGAAGGACATTTCGCTGAAGCCATTTCGGCGAAGGGACATTTCGCCGAAAATATGGAATTTATTAATTTTCCTTTCTTTTTCAGAAGACAAACGGATTATTTACACATTGTACTGTAAGGCGCGTTTGTTTAATTTTTTTTAATTAAAGAAAAATTAATTTATTCGGTCTTATAGTAAGTTCAAATAAAGATAATAAATTCGTCGTACTCATCAATTTCCGATACTTTCTTTGTATCGAATTGTTATGATTAAGGAAATATGTTAATTACTAACATTTTTGGCGAGATGTCCTTCGACGAAAGGGACGATTCGGAGAAAAGGATTCGGCGAGATGTCATTGATGAAACGCCCATTCGGCAAAATAATCCTTCGGTGAAACTTTCCTTCGGCGAAATGAATTCGGTGAAATGGGTTTCGGCGTTTACATAATATCATAACCTTTAAAAAATTTCGGTCTCACACTAATTCTTTGATGATTCATATTTTTTCGTAATCTCTACGAGATCTTTAATTCTTTATTAGTTCTAATGTTATCCTATAACATCTTGCAACACTTTTCTACTTCAACTAGTAATTTTACTACAGTACATTTTTATTAACAGGAACGTTAGAATAATAATCTCTAATGCATATCGACCACGAGCACTCTTATGCATTGCAGATTTTTTAATCTAATAAAACCATTTCTCTAAATTTCTTAAGGACATTTATAATATCATATTGCTACTAAATATTGTCAATGACAACCTTTTTCTATAACTTTTAAATACAATTCACAAGCTTTATATTCATCTTTTAAAGTGCCAAGTCCGTAATTATTACAATTTCCCAATTCAGATAATGCACGTCCATACCTTCGCTCGGCAGATTTCATCATTTATAGCCCCATATCCGTACTCATAACAAATGCCTAATTTCTTTTTTATAATAATAATAACCGTCCTACTTAATAAACAATATTTGCCCCTGTATTTAAAAAATATTAAACTGAACGCTTTAATTCAGTGTTGGCATTTGGCCGCGGCCAAGAATTTTTTTGGCCCAAACGGCCAATGGCCAACCCTGGCCAAATTTTAGCCAAATAACAAAATATTAATACTTTATTTATTTATTAAAGCTGAATTGGCATTTGACCGCGGAGCGACCAAAGATTTTTTTGGCCAGTTTGACCGGTCAAATGGCCAACCCTGTCAAGTGCCAACACTGCTTTAATTTAAATCTAATCTCATTTTGATTAAACTTGAACAATAAAAAATACAAGTGCCGCCCATTATAACGACATATTACTATATAACGACATACCATTTTTTGAATTCCTTTGATATCATTATATAAACATTATAAATCTTATTATAACGACAATTAGAAAAAATTTACTAATGGCCCGAAGAGTGTCGTTATGACGGGCAGCACTTGTATTTTGAAAATTATCATAATTTCTATAAATTCACTTAATTCATTTTTTATTATACATTTTGCTATTTCCATATTCATACGATTGTACAAAATGTACGATAAACTGGTCTAAAAAAACAAAATTGAGGTAAATCTAAAAATAAAATTTTCAGAATTTTTAAAAATTCTTGGATTAATACAATTATTATATGAGAATTTGTTACACATCAAACCTCTCTATATAGCCGTGAAATTCGGCAGAAGGGTGAATATTAGTTATCGTTTTGTCACAATGTGTTACGTACTCCTGTTTTACTGCAATACATTGTTACAAATTTAAATGTAATTAATTATACACGTATCAGTCGTATCATACTAGATTTACTTAAGTTATTTTATAAAAATTTTTGATATAAATATATCTTTAATAAGCTTTAATTATTATACATGAAACTTTGTTGTATTAATTTACTAAATACAGAATGTTTCGCTAATATTTATATAATACACATAAGGAATCGATTGTCAAATAAAACCAGCATAATGCCAAATACAGTTTCTAATTTTAGCAAAATGAGCTGCACTTAGGCGGCATTGGAATTGTTGAGAATCAATTTTCAATCTTTCAATTTTTCCAATTAAATTACTCCAGTAATATAAAGATCTTAATTAATGTGAACTATAAAACAAATACTAGTTGAGAACTTTGTAAGAGTGGAATATATAGGCTAATAATAAAAATTAATATGTAAGTTCTTTTAATTAAAGAAATAAATGCCTATAAAAGGAATAGATACTCCTTGCTTAAAAAGAAAGAAAATAAACGGAACGTTTTCAAACTTCCTTTCCTATTGTTACATAAAACACTCGCAGGTTTTATATCTACTTCATTATCCAAACATAAAATTGTTTGATGTTGACGTTGATGTATTAGTATTTGGATCATTCAAAAAATCCTTACATTTATTAAACCAATTTGTAGCCTCTTTGAAATTTTTATCAATTCCAATACCATCCCTATAACATTTTGCAACTAAATAAAGTGCTCTTATGCTATCTTTTTTATCGGCTAATTTCATATACCACTTAAATGCTTTGCCCTCATTATTGTTATTAAGATAATAATCTGCTAACTTATATTGAGCATCAATACAACCATTTATTGCAGCTTTTCTATTCCAATAATACCATTTTTCTAAATCTTTTGGGACACATTTATAATAATTTGCTATTGTAAATTGACTAGGTGCATGCCCTTTTTCTGCAGCATTTAAATAACATTTAAAAGCTTTATTTCCACTTTTTAAAATACCACGACCATTATAATAACAATTTCCTACCGTATTTAATGCTTCATAATATCCTCCTTCAGCAGAATGTAAATACAACTCAAATGCTATCTTTTCATCTTTTATTAAGTTATGCCCAAAATAATAAAAACTACCCAATTTATAAATTGCTTTAATATTTCCTCCTTCTGATGATTTCACATACCATTCAATTGCTTTATTATAATCTCGTTTGATGTTTATTCCATAACGATAACAATTACCTACATAATATTGGGATACATTATCTCCTTTTTCAGCATTCCTTATATGTAATTTGTAATTATTTTTCCTATGTGAAATTATATCTTTATAAAGAAATAAACAATAAAAATATGGTAAAACTAGTTCATTTAATTCTTTAATATCATCATTGCAGAAAATAATAGTTTCATTTTTTTGATCAAAAGAAAATTGATCTAATATCACTTTTTGATTATTTTTAACAGCATTAAAAAATACTTCGTATGCTTTGATTTTATTAATTTCACATCCGATTCCATATTGATAATAAAATCCAATTAAACTTGAATAACAAAAAATATTTTCAGAGTTATTAGTCATAATATCAAGTACATCTTTAGGGTCTAAATCATATTCGAATAAAAAATTATTCATAAATTCATTTAATTGAACTTCAATATCAGATTTTATGTCTATATTTAAAAGAATTACGTATAATTCTTGTAATAACTCTTTGAAAAAATCTGTCATAAAATTATTACAAGAACTTTTTGTAACATTAAATTTGAAGGAAGAGGGTTCATATTCTTCGATATTTGATTCAAGAATAAAAATATTATCATTATAATTATCAGACATATTGAATAAAGGCCTGAGCATTGAGTATGAAGTCCGAACAAAATGGTATTTTATTTCGCCGATTGAATCACGAGCTCTTGTGCTATGTTACAATACGGTTGTACAAATTTAATTGTAACTACTATTGAAAGAATTTTAGTAATAAAGTTTCCCCTTAGTTCTATAGCGATTAATATCAATGTTGACTCGTTATTAATCTAAATAGCATTATTTATTTTATAGAACTATTAGCATTGGAAGTATGGATTATATTCGTATAAAAAAGCAGCATTTTATTTAAAGGATTTTTCTAAACGGACCTCATGTTGATCACTTTTACGGACGCGTAGATATTTGGTTAAGGTTACAAATTTTATCAATCTTTCGCTCTTTGATTTTTTTTTTTTTTATGTAGAATTTAATTTATTTTATTTTTAGTACTACTGTATGCTGGAAACTCCTTAGAGTCCTTCCGAAGACAGAACAATTCAAGGAATTGGACAATCAGCAGATAACTATGGAGAAGATTTTTTATTGAAAATATTTATATTAAAAAATATTTCTTTTGATTTTATCTATTTTACTTTAACATCATTTTAGGAGACTATTTTGCTTTATTTTTAGTTAGTGTTTATTTTATTTTATTTTATTTTAGTTTTTGTTTATGCAATAATATTTTTACTGTAAACTGCATATAAATATTTATAAAAATAAAGGCACTATGCCATGTTTGTTTAAAAATCACCAGTATGAGTTGTTTTAGAGATGTCTGTGATCCTATTTTGACTAGTGCAGCCTGTTATATTTACTTATAAAATTTTCTTTGGCATAAATCTTATCCTATTTTAGTGATGTACAAATCTTTTTATGCTAAACTATATTAACTAAATATTAAAAGTATTAATTTATATTTAAAAAATATATTCCTATTTTATTAGTATTAGGAAACTCTTTTCAATAATCACATTTGACTATTTTTCATAAAAAACTTTTTCTTTTTGTTAAACACTTATTGGAAATATGGCTTTTTGTTTACAAATAACATTTTAGTAGACCCTGTTGAAATCAAGAAACTTATAGACAACTTCAGAAATATTCCTTTTATTGGACATTTTGAAGGAACTCTTATTGCATATAAAAAAATTAGTAAGTCCTTTTTTATCAAGTAATAGAAGATAATGTATGCCAAAAAAATATTACTCACTTTTCTGATATATTGGAATTTTATAAAAACAACCTCATATATTGATAATAGTAATAAGCTTTACACTTTTTATATATTTGCTTCACTATAGTAAAGCTTTTTTAGTGCTTTGAATAATCTGTATACTTTTCGTCAAAATGACAAAATATTAATTAAATTTATTTTAACAGACATAATATATTTTAACAGATGTAATTAATTCATAATAATTTTATAATAAATAGTGAATTGGTCCGTTTACCAAAATATGATATAATTAATTAGCGGAGAAGTATATTAATCTGAATTAACCCAGGTTAACTTTTAAATTAGTTGATACTTATAATTTTAAGTGACTTGTAAGTTGTAATCTGTATGTCCCATATAACCTGATTTGATAGGTCAGATTATATATTTTCTTGACTCAGATTTTAACCCAAATCAACCTGAATAATTATTTGATTATCCAAATCTTTTTTTTGCACTTTTATTAAGTTAAAACAAAATAATAAAATTTTGAATTTTAATTCTGATCTTAATTAAATAGTTAATTATATATAATGTAAATTCCTTTAAGTTTAAATAAAGTTTATATTGAATGTAATTGAATAATAACTTTAAATTCATATTGCAATGATAAATAAAAGTTGTGCAACCTATATAATGATTATTATCATTATTTTGTAGATCAATTTTTCTTATTATTAATTAATTAAAAATTCAAGTTTAAATCTAGATTATATGGATTAAACTATACTCAGGTCAAGTTGATTTCAAGTTATAAAATTATGTAATCTGAATATATACAAATCCCTTCTTTTTTACTTCAAATCAGGTCAAATATATTCTTAAAGCTTGATTTGACTTGACCTGGTAGGAGCATTAAACTTTTTTAAAACAATTTAAATAGTAAGTTTGATAGAATTTCTAGATGTTATGCAGAACCTGTAATATTATCACAATAAACTAATAACATGAAAACATGTCTGTTTTAAGAGAGATTATATTAATAAATATAAAAAGTTTAAATGAATTTAAACATTAATCATTTATTAAATAGTCGAATACAATAATACTTACTCCTTTATTACAAAAGAAAAAAATAAATAAATTACTATATAAAAATAGTCAAATGAAATCCAAATAGTATAATAATAGACTAAGTTTACCATTTCCTTCTGAAAATAAGAAAAAGAAAGTTTCAAAGAAACCTATATCTACTTTACAGATTAAGTTTATTAAGAAAAATATTACATAACAAAAAAAAAGTATTTTTTCAGTAATAATTGAATTTAAGATTGCCTGTCTAAACCTCTCCAAAATTCTATGATTAGTTTCTCCAAAATTTTACTATAGTTTTATTATAGTTTTGGCAAGGTTTCAGCAGTTTCAGCATTTATAATAAGTTTCGTCAGGTTTTGCTTTTCTCCAGAATTTCGACAACTTTTTAATAAGACTTTTATATAGTTTCGGCAAAGTTTCGCCATTTCGCCATTTCACCAACTTGCCAAAACCCCCTAGTTTCTCCAGTAACCTTAATTGAATTACTGTCTAAATATGAAGTATGAACTGCTAAATAGGATTAATATCAGTCCAAAAAATTACTGTATATAATATTCTCTCTACTTGGTTTTAACTTAATATTCTTAATCATCTAAAAAGAACCCCTAAAAACTAATATAAAAATCATAATGAACTTTTGGCCAAAAATACCACTTTTTGCTAAAATTCAAAAAATCATTTTTTGTAAAGTTTTTATTTTAAATCATTGGAAATAATCATTACCATTGGCCAGAATTATCAATTTTTACCAGCATTATATTTTTTAATGCTAGTCGATCGTCATAATTTTAGTTACCAGTGATCATCACCACTTCATCACTCCAGTGATAATTAGAAAAATTCTTTTGTAAATATCTTAATATCCAGTGATTTAATTTTAAGGAACTTTTTTATTTTATAGCCCTCATTTAGTTTTACAATTTAAAAAAATTCATTGAAATTAGACTACTAGATGCTGCGATATTTACAAAAAATGATTTTTTGAGCCTTTAAAAAATGTGCCAATTTGCTTATTATCCTTTATATTTTATTTTTTTTATTTTTTGTATTTTTTTTTTTGTTTTAGTATATTTTTATACTGATATCATCTGAATATTTTATTACATAGTAAAAGTAGTAAAGGTCTTTTTTGTATCTAGTTGTATTTATATGACAAATTTTTAATAAAGATTTAACTTTATAGTTATACTTAAAATAAAAAAAAAATTTATTAGTATTAAAAGAATTTAATATAAATATAATTATAATAGTTATTAAATATAATATTTTTAAAATCTATATACTATATATTTGATATATTAATAAAACAGATACAGTCACCCCTCTCTACAGCGAACCTCGATATAGCGAATAACATGATATAACGGATCATACAGTGTGGTACCGATTTTAAATATGAAAAAAACCTTGATATAACGAAGTTTACTATTTATTTACCGTATAACGTAGTACGAAGTAAAGTGTGTGAATTTCTTATATAAAAATGCCTCTCGATATAACGGATTTTTTTTATAACAATTTTTTTCAGTTATAACGAAGAATTTCTTTATAATTAAATGTAATTATTAATAAATATTGATGCATTATGACATTAAATATCACCCCTGTGTTTTATATTTAAATTATAGATCAGGATTGTATCAGGATCGTATCAGGATTAATAATTCTGGCTATTTTATTTAATATTTAGGCAGAATTACATTAATTTACATTAATTCGGTTGTATTAGGATTCGATGTGAATTGTTATTAATTTATATTTATCACAGGGGTAAGGACACTCCTAGTTAAATTAATATATCATTAATAATTTATTTATTATATAGTCAGTTATTGT